TATATATATATATATATATATATATATATATATATATATATATATATATATATATATATATATATATATATATATATACATACATTTTTATCATAATATTATTAATTACATCAAAGTAAATTATACTTATAACTACTAAATAAATGATTACATTGTATGAAAAGAATTTGTAAAAAACTTGAAGTAAGTTTGACTTTAAAAAGTGCATTTACTACATGGAGTGAATTTAACAGCTTCTTCATAGTATTATGCATGTATAAAAAGTCTGAAATTATGAAGTGTAGGACCAATTTATTTAAAACATTATCAAGATAAAACATTTTTAAATACTAAATCATCTTTACTCATTTAAGTATGCATATATGCACTTTTTAAATTTATTATTAGTTACATCTAAGTAAATTATATACTTATAACTACTAAATAAGTTATTATTATTATTATTATTACACAAAAAATAATGATTATTATTATTATTACAAGCAATTTGTTTAAGGCTTGAAGTAATTTTGACTATTTAAAAAGTGCATTTACTATATTTGAAGTGAAAACTGCAAGACATAATTAGTTGTTCAGATTAATGATATTCATTAATAATTGTTTTATGCAGTGCATTGACTAAATAATGTAATGTTTGAGTAAGTCTGACAAGAAAAACAATACATTAACTACTGTATGTTTGGAGTGAAATTAACAGCAAAGAAAGGTGTCTGGACAGTCTGTTGACTTTCTTAAATATCAGTTATTCTACTATTGCACTGCTTTGCAAGAAGCTTTAAAACACTGTTTAGTTTTGACTAAACATTACATCAGCTATATCAGAGTGAAAATCACCAATTTTTGTTGACATTATAAAAACAAATAATTAGCTGTGTGCTGAATGTTGACTCATATTGAAATCGTCCACAAAAAAATGACACTTAGGCCATTATTAATATTATTATTATTATTAAACTGACCAACAGCAAAAAAAAAGAAAAAAAAGGACTGCATTTCTTAACTCCTACAGTTTCTAGTTAAATGCATTTTTTTTCAACACATCCCATAATTTCTAAAATATTAACCATTTGATAGAGATCGGTTGATGATAAAAGTACCAGAGTGACTATAAACAATCTGCAAAATATGAAGTGTAAGACCAATTTATTAAAAAAAATATATTAAAATAAAACATCTTTATTTTTTGAAGTATGCCATAAATATTTCAGATTCTTATTTAACATGCTTTCTTGTTTTGTTTTGTTTTGTTTTGTTTTACAATAAAACCAAAATCAAGTGTAGTAATGCAACAGGATTATATTTGTTTGATTTTCTTGTAAACCAACAATGCTGTGTGTGTAAAATATTATTTAAATCAGTCATTTTTAAACTACTTTAACAGTTTAACCATTTGATAGAACAGACAGTTAAAGGGTTAAATAAAACAGACAACGTGAAGTGTGCCACTATGTGCAATTGTCATGTGTATTCTGTGAGACTTTAAAAAATTATCAAATAAAAAATAGCTTTTGTGTTTATTATTATTAGTATTAGTAGTATTATTAATATTAATATTATTATTTTAAGTCTCCTTAACAGTGGTTGGAGTCTCCAAGACGTCTGAAATCCAGCAAGTGCTGTCATAGAAAACTAATGAAATTTAATTATTTACACTCTTTAAGGTTCTAAAGGCCGGACATCAGCCGAGGCTTGTTGTGGCGGAAGTAAAATTTACCGCGTGCTCTATAAATGGAGCAGACACATAAATCTGAACGCAGACCGCCGCACAATCCTGTATGCGCCGCGAGACATTTCGCGCGCCTCTTTTTCACACGCGCATCAATCTTCAGCTTTTCCCGCCCATCTGACAAAGCGCGCGATTTTCTTGGACAGGAAAATAACTCAAAGTTGGAGAAGTTTTAGATTCAAATCTAAGAAGTGTGGCTAAAACAACTTTAAATAAGGGAACTTTTGAGAACAGTTTTTTTTTTTTTTGTGTGTGTGTGAACACAGAACCACTGAGAAACAATTAGAGAATCTTTAAATAGTAAGAATATCCATCACCCAGAGATGCAAATGAGAGGATGCAGATACACAAGAGAAGAATGGATGGATGGAGGAGAACAGGATGAGGCACAAAAAGGAAGTAGAGGTGAAGTTAGTCGGTCAGGACTCGTTTTCTGTCGGAAGAGACTTTTTCTTCTGTTCTCTCTCTCTTTGTTGACCCTTTTTCATTAGCATCACACTTAGTTTGTTTACTGGACAGAAAGTTCACTTGCTTTTACTACTGAACTTCCGCCTCTCTCTCTCTCTCTCTCTCTCTCTCTCTCTGTCTCTGTATTTCTCCTAAGTGTCACTTGTGAGCTGTTGACATTTATACTAAACTAAACTGAGTTGTAATTAGGTCTGTCACAATAATCAATATATCAGCGTATCATGCAAAAACACTGTAAAAACAACTTCATGACAAACAGTCATGACAACATAGGTTTTATGCTACTTATTATGCTAACTTATTTCAATAGGGTATTCAGGTATATATATATATTATATATATATATATATATATATATATATATATATATATATATATATATATATATATATATATATATATATA